AACCTAGATCCAAGCATTAGGGTTTGCATGTGCACATAGGAAAGTTCTTATGGCTCAAACCCATCAATAATTTAGGGAAACAAACTTGGTGTCAAAATCAAAATTTTGTGGGAATATAGTGATTAGCTTGCAATTTGAAACTCGGTGTTAAAATCGAAATTTTGGTAATTAAACTTAGTGACTGTATTGCAATTTGGGAAAAGTGGTTACCACGAGAACAGAAAGAATCGGTCATTTGGCTGATATTGCAACAAAAGTGTAAATATAATGACATAACTGAGAAAGAAAAGAAAAAAAAAACTCGGTATAAAAATCAAAATTTTATAGTAATATAATGACTATTTTGCAATTTGCCCAAAAAATAACAAAACAAAAAAACAATGATTTTTCTTCCTGTCTATTTAAGATGATGACAAGTGTACAAATTCAAAATCTCAATTAAATTTAAATTAAATTTAATGACACTTGTCACCATCTAAAATAGGTAGGAGGATATTAGGAACAAAAAGTAGGAGGCTATTTAATTTCTCGGATGGAATTTATATCTTGTTCTCAACTTTTTTTTTCCCTTATCGTTTGAACAAAGATACATACGAACGAAACAGATATAAACAAACATTTTGTATGACAAATGGTTCGTTGAATGTTTGGTTCGATTTTCTAATTTATTTTTATTTAGATATAAACAAAAACGGAGATGTAATTGAAAGTTGAAACGGATTGCATTAAGTATGGGTGTGCATCAACAGTCAACAATCAACAAACCTCCCATACCATCATATCCATTAAATTAAATGTGCAGCACAGAAGTTTAAAGTTTCATAAATCTGCCCCATGCAACTTTGAATTTAATTTCACAAGAATCTGATATCATAATTCATATGCTGTGTTAGCCATGTTACAGCTGGCCATCCGCCCAAACACAGCGGCTGTGTATGGGCTGATTTGTCGCCGACACCAACTTCAGATTCAGATGGTCACAAGTCACAAGTAACACGTAGCAACGGCAGATAAGCATGCTCATTCATTCATTCATTGCCTGCCCTTTAACGCTTCATCATAAATTCATAATTCTACCTTGTATAAAATATTGTAATTCTACCTTGTATAAAATATTGATTCATTAAATAATATAATATATTGAATTCCGTTCTAGATTATAGTAATAAGAATATATTCAATTAGTGAAATAAAATAAAAATTGATTTATAAAACAAAAAGATAAACTTTATGGGGGAGACAGATGATTAAGAGAGTGCATGTCAACATATTCTAAAATATAAATTGAATAAAAATATGTTAATTTTGTATGTTATTTGTTGTTTATTTGAAATGTTAAGAAATATATATGTTTGGAGGTGGTGATGTTCAAAACCGGGTGTCAGAAATTTTGGATATTTACGATAGTAGATATTGACATGTGAATCTTAAATTTGTTAAAGAAATAAAATATATTGCTATAAAACAAAAAGGTAGGTTTAATTATAAATTTGGTTACTTTTATTTTGAGTATCATTTTAGGTTTAATGGTTTGAAATCTTTTAGCTACCACATGTGTAACTTAATTGTTTGGTTTAGTTTGATTTTTGTGGTTGTTCCGTTTGATAATTATATACTCAAGAACAAATCATATGTTATATACATGTTGATTTTAAAATATGCGATTTGCTGGAATTGTTATGTATGTATATTTTGTGAGAGCATTTAAAAAAAAGCTATCATTGGTTTCTTCACGTTATGCGTTACCTTTGTTTTAAAATAAATATGATCAATTGAGGTCGTAACTTTTTGTTTTTATAATTAACTTGTAAAATAGAACAAAAGACAAAATCAACCTAAAACGGTAACCTCGAGTTTCATTCAAAGAAAAAAACTAAAAAATTCATGATAAAGGAAACACAACAATTTAAAACCTCAAGATGTCTCTTTAACTTGTACAAGGCTATCTATTTTGCTTTCTCTACTCAGATATGATGGATTTGAGAATGTAAAATCTTTTTATTTGTGATAGATTGATAATCAACTTTTAAATAAACATTTTAATTAATTATAGTTATTTATTTATGACAAAATTTAATTTATTTGCTAAAAAATTTCATTAAAGGCAAGGTTGGTCCGTTGATTTTGAATGTCATGTGCGAAAAGTAAAAATGGATCCTGAAATTTCGGATTATCAATTGATAGAGACATAAAACTACCCCGTTTTTTTAAATAAATCATATTCCATGTGATGTTTGATCGAATTTTGCGGATGACATAATTTTTTGTTCCGATTCTTTCGATTATTCGCTTTAATTTTTAAATTAATAAAATTCCATTTTCTGTTTTAGGAATTATATTGTAATCATTCAAACAGATCGAAATATATTTTTTTAGTAAAATCGATTAAAAAAAAATATAATTAGTTTCCAACATAACCATTGAAAACCCTCACCCACAAATATATATGGGTGGTTGCCTTGTTGGAGAAATGAAAACAATCTACGTTAGAAAATTGGATAAGCTAATAGTGGAGATCTGGATATCATTTGAATCGTGTAAACATTTTCCGAACTGATATTTCTACCTTATGTCTGAGTTATAAGAAACTCAGTCTAAGATAATCCCAATGTGACACTTACGAATCTAGGCACAGAAAACGTAAGCCAAATTGTTAGAAGATTCTGAGTTCGTCTGAAGAAAACGAGAGCTAAAAAAGTCGTATTTTCTCCTCGAGATGAGAGTCGTTTATATAGAAAATGATAAGTAGGGTTTTGTTTTAGGATTGGCCGTCATGAGTTGTTTTGGAAACAAGTCAAGGGAATCCGGAATTAATGAGGAAAACAATGATTTCCAAAACTGACGATCTTAGTCAGTTTTACATAATCACCCTCAAAAATTCAATTTCCACTATGTACCTACTTGTAAAATTTGAAGAGTTTTTGGGGCGTTGCCCCTCGACCCCGCCTGCTAACGTGACAGCGTGACCCCAGCCAGGGGCTCTGCCCCTTGGACGCAGCTAGGGGCGCTGCCCCCGAACCCTCGACTTGTTATCAAATCGGCTTCTAATTCAATCTTATACATGTATGCACTCCACACATACCCAAACATATATTAGAGTACAAATTATGAAGTCCCTTAGCTCACATGTAAGTTTCAATTACATAAAATGTCCTAATGACACTATAATCACCAACAATCTAAGGAGGGAAGCACGCTTTTTGACGGACCCGCAGGATGGAATAATACATTTCATAACTATATGGGAAGTGAGTCGTACACAACAATTTTTTGCCATACACAACAATTTATGCATAATAGAGTTGTACAATACAACATTTTAAAGCATCAATTGTTGTGTATGGTGAAAAATTGTTATGTACAAATCAGCTCCCTAACTATATATATGCACATCTATCCTCACCTAATACTACATCGCATAATGCCGCCTATATCTATATTAATTACAAAATAGATTTAATTATCTTTTTTTTTTTTTGTAAATGTTTATCTATCTTTCTCTTGTCATCTTAAGATGAGCTCTATCTGCCTTCACAAGCCGATTATGGAATTGGATCCACTCTCTTTTGCACCTATTTCTTACCTATCATTATTATTTTTCAATAAAAACCAAGAAAAATATTCTTCACTATAATATCATTACCTTAAACATGTAGAAAAAAAAATTTATATATTTACTTACCCTTTGCCATCCGTATTTCCCATTCACAATTTGACCCTAAAAACACACAACCGACCACATTAAAATGAGATTAAATGACAATTTTACTCTTACATCCCAAAAAAATGAATTTCACCTGAATTCCAAGTGTAGGAATGACTTGATGAACGATCCATTGTGAATCTACCACACCAATTTTCTCATGTGCAGGCTATCACAACAACCAATTATGTATTAATAAATATATATATTTATTTTTTTTCCTTTCATTTTCACTCGTGTATTGTCATTTTTCCAAATATTATTTATCCAGACAACACTTTACATGAAAAGGAAAAATGCATGGAAAGGGCAAAAAAGGAATTAACAAACCTCTACACATCTTCTAAGAGCAAAATCCAAACCCCATCCATGCACCAAATCATTCTCCATGTCCATAAAAAAAACCCAATATTAGTATATATTACAACAACATTTAAAAAATATCTTGAAATAGCAACATACTTACATTTCTTTACTAATAATAGCAATTTCACCAAAAATAGTAATGTACATAGATTTTCCTACTTTATTTGTTACATATTGCTATTATCAGTAAAGAAATATTTTTACCTGAATCATATGCCACACGCACCACCAAGCTTCCTTAGAGAAAACCGGAGCCATAATCTCCACAAATCTGATTTTTTTTAAAAAAAAAAAGAATAGAAAAACTAGTTATAATTCCATGGAGAGAGAGAGAGAGAGAGAGAGAGAGAGAGAGAGAGAGAGAGAGAGAGAGATTACGCTGCACATGGAGGTAAATGAGGATCAATGCACCATCCAGGTCTCTCTTGTGTATCCCTGTTGACATCCAAAAAGAAAACTAATATTAAAATACTTATATTAAAAATTAGGAAATTAAAAAATTAAAAAAAAAATGGTGAACATACTTGTGAACTTCTTTATCACCTCTTCTTTTTGTCATTTGCCATGTTAATCCATCATTGGGTTCAAGCCCAGGTTGAGAAATCTCCAAACCATGTTTTTTAACTAACTCCATATACCTTCAACATCACAATTTCATATTACTATAAATATAATAAAAATGATTTATGAGCCAAAATTGAAAAAAAGAAATATACTTGTCCCCATTAAAATGTTCTACACCAAGATCTTCATCCCATATAAAAATATATTCATAAGCTGCCACAATATCTGGATGCATAAACCTCTTTGCATACCACCTATACAAAAAGTTATTATTATTATTATTATTATTATTTTTTTTTTTTTTTTTTTTTTTTTTTTTTTTTTTTTAAAAAAAAGAGAGAAAATGTCACTTTTTTTTTTGATGAAAATTACATACCATTTGGTTTGTCCTTTTACACTGACATGAATTGCATCCTTTGACCACTCAAATTGATCCCATTCTGTTGTTCGACCATCATAGTGAAAAAGCAAGATTTGGAAATCATCTGAAAACTAAAAAAAAAAAAAAAAAAACATTATTCCCAAATTAGCCTTGACACATTAAACCCAATAAAAATAAAAAGTGATTAGTAAAACCTTTTTTACTGAAGCATCAATGTTGTCTCTTTGATCCCAACCAACAGTGAAAGTTACCAAGTATTTTGGCTTCTTCTTTATATCCTTATAAATCCAACACATTATAAGTAAGCAAGAATTAATGAATGTCAAACTAAGGGTAAAATTGTCATTATGCTTTTTTCATATACCTCACCAGGATAACCCCATAATCTTCTTAAATATAAATCTGTTTGTGGGACCACAATTCCTGGAGGTAATGACTCTGCACCACGTGGATTTTTAGGAGCATAAATCTGAGGTTTTACAGGTTTATTAAACGAGTCGAGATTTTCAAGGGCAATATGGTCAAAAGCCATTGATTGATGTTCATTCATCATTGACAAACGACTGCTTGAAGGTAAGTTAATCTGTAAAATATCAAAGGAAAATCAAATGCAATATAAGTATATGTATATCCAAGATTTTAATTTAAAATTAAAGTAAGCTAACCTTGGTAAGAGCAACATATGGAAAATGAACCCCAATCAAGTATCCAAAGATTACTCCCATAATTGAAGTTATAATTAATCTTGCACTATCATTTGGCTTCTTTAATATGCTTCTGTATAAAAAATTTAATTATAAACAAACCAACAAGATTTGAAATTTTGAACCAAAGTTTGGAAAAAGTATTTAGGCTTACCCTCGATGAATGTTTTTCATTGTGGTAAAGAAAGGCCAGATTTAGGGTTAAAGAAAGCACAAGGGAAATCCAATAGCATGAAGAGTTTCTAAAGAACATACAGCAAGTTCCCAAAGATATAAGAGTGTGAAACAGTGTTACTAGGAATGGAAATACCTGAAAAAACATGATTAGGAAAAAGTCAGTATTGGTTTGCAATTTGCATATGATTCAAAGTTTATGGGAAGTTTTTATCCTTTGTTAAACCAACAAAAGATGGAAGAAGAAAGAACTTTTTTCTCAAATAAGCAAACAACAAGGTTTATAAACAGAAAACGATTGTCTTGTTTCTGCATATAGATTAGCACCATTTCATCGAACTCAAATCAAGTGTCCTCTTTTGAGTTCAAAATTCATGTCTGGAACTTCCCAATTTTAAAACTAGCATGAATCGTATTTGCTTTTCCCCTTTTGATATGTTTAATCGAAAATTTAAGCTTCAACTTCCAATTATTGTAATTTAAAGTTGAAGAAACACAATAACATCATGGAAAACAACCAAGCATTTTTGCATATCACGTACAAACCCTAAACACATCCTGTTGGTATAACAAAACCGATCATATGAAACTTGCACCCTTCATTTGAAACGCGGATGCAACATTCAAACAATCAATGATATTACACATGAGAATTCAAAGAAATTTAGAGTTAGAAGATGCTTACAGGTCTGAGGTTTCCACGATGATAGGGAGGGAGAGATGCGTCGTCTTCCTGTGAGATATTGGTATGATTTTGGAAGGAAAATTTCCAGGGATTTTGTAAATGTTTTGGTTTTAACTTGAGAATGTATCATAATTTGCTTACATTGTGATATTGGGTAGGTGGTGTCTCCATTAACGTTCTTCGTGAAGTTTGATCGCCATTTTTTTTTTTTTTGGAACAGGCAATGGGTAACGGCCAATGTGCAGGCGCGAAGAGGTATTTGCCTATTTGGATTTTTATAATTCTGTTCAAATATGCTATAAATTTTATTTGAAAAAGAAACATGATTTAAGTCAATTTCTTCATTTGAAAATTAAGTTTTAAAACTAATGATAGAAATTTATAATAATTAATTTTTATTTTTTTAATCGAGTTTTTTATTTGGTTATAAAAAGATATCATGAATTTTAAAATTCATAGTGAAACTAACTACATTCCTTACACATGTACTTTTTTTTTTGTCGATCTATATTTTAAATACTTTCAAACATTTATGAATATATAATCAAATAAAAGAGTATGTTATTAAATAACAATTTACTATAAATATGTGGTGTCTGATAGGGGTGTGCATAAAACCGTACAAACCGCCCGCACCGCACCAAACCGCACCGCATAACGCGATTTAGAACTTTGATGGTACGGTTTGCGGTTTGAAATTTTATTAAACCGCACTTTGTGGTGCGGTTTACGGTTTATAATTACAAGATTGCGGTCCAAACCGTATATATATATATATATAT